TCTATTAAAATAGATAATTAAACTGATGTTCTGTTATGAAAACATTAATGTTACATAAATGGGTGCGAAATATGGATTGTGAGCGCGGCGAAAAAGAAAAAAATGTGGCGTTATAGGGGGATGATGAAAACAGCATGAATATAGAGTTAAAAATGGGGAGGTATTAGAAAAAGTAAAAAAAAATGACGCTGTGAAAGTCAATAAAAAATAGGAGAGATAGGATGGTAGGGCATCTTCTAAGATATAAATGGCTAGTTAAAGACAGAATCAAAAACATGAATAGAGGGATTGAGGAAGATTTGGATTAGAGTGCTGCTCATAATTAGTTAACGAAATTCAAACCAGAATTTTTTTTTATTTTATTTTGTATTATCAATGTTTTATGTCCCCTATTAACAAGGATCGTTGACCCACAAATTTTATCCTGGACCGTTTGAACTGTAGGAAAGAGGGGACAATTGTAACTTCGTAATATTTTAATAAATGACATTTTTAATTACTAATAGTGGTTAATATACGATATTAATGTGAAAATTAATTTTCGATTTTCAATCCACTACAAACTTCCTCAGAGAATTAACCGAGAATTAACCAGAGGAAGTTTCTAGTGGATGGAAAATCGAAGATTAATTTTCACATTAATATTTTAATAAATGTTATGTAAATGGTACTTACCTATCGTAAACGCTGGCGCTATCAGCTCCACCCCCCGATGTCCGTATCGGCCTGTTTTCTTGGGATGGATCCAGGAACCGATACGCGTTACTGTGTCCGAATTTGATAAGGTTGCCGTGACTGAGGATGGTCGTTTGGTGTATTCTTTGTCCGTTGACGTAAGTGTGGGCGTCCGCGTGACAGGGTGTTATTGAAGTTAGGCCGTCAGTGTTCGCGATGACCGCGTGTCTGGGCTGGATGTGGGGCCCATACAGCTGGAGGTCGATGCCGTTCGCTGAGCCCACCTGAAACAATTGAAAACCACATTAGCGGAAAAAATATGGGACGCTACAAAATACATAAACCGTTAAATTCCACAGGGCGAAAATTAAACTCGAAAAATTTCTTACGTCAAAACATTTGGAAGGACGATTCATACTTTAATCGTTTAGTTGAATCTAGTGCAACTAGTGTAAAAAATAATAAAACGAAGACGGTAACAATAACTTCCGATATTACAAGAAAAAGTGTCACTACACATTGAAACTACGAAATGTTGGCATGCATTCGCTTTGTTGTTTGTATGATTTGATATGTTAAGTGGTTACAACCATAACTTTTTAAATCCCCTGGGTCTCCTTTGTATGTGATGGGATGCGAGCCAGATTGCTCCTCTCGTCATCATCCAATTACGAAACTATTTAGATAATTGGGCAGAGACTGAATAAGTACATGTATGTACATACAAGGTGGCCAAATTTTTACTAAAAACATATACATTCCCTAACCCTAAACGATATGAAGATAATAAAGCGTACAAGGAAGATCAAAATAGTCCACCAGTAGGTAATTAACCATTATAAAAAATTCGAGCCAAATTTGTACATTTCAATCTCCTGTTCAACTCTTACCGTCTACATTTAACAACATTCTTCAGACTTACACGGATGCAATTTTAAAAAACGACAACCAAAAAAATGTTAAAAGCTAATAATGCAATCTTCACAAACAAATTTCCATAAACAAAGTAACTGAAAGTCGTACATCATCATCATCATAGGGTCGTCAGTCCTAAGACTGGTTGGACATGTATCTCACTCTTTCCTATCCTGAGCTAAACTTCGCATTTCCTTAAAACTAGAACAACCCACATCCTTAACTATTTGTGAACAGTAATCTAACCTAGGTCTACCGCTACCCCTCTAACTCCTGTTTCTGCCTCTAATATCTCTCTGACTAGACCTTCATGCCTGAGAAGGTGTCCTACCAACCTATCCCACCTATTTGTTATTGACTTCCATAGAGTCCTCTGTTCTCCTATTCTTTCTAATACCTCTTCATTTCTAACCTTTTATACCCACGTTATCCTCATCATTCGCCTATAACACCAGATTTCGAAGGTTTCTAACCTTTTCTTTTCGACTGCGCTAACTGTCCATGTTTCGCACCCGTACAACGCCGCGCTCCAAACATACACCTTTAACAACCTTTTCCGAATTTCTAAATTAACCATACATAGATTATATTAATTTACTTTTTCCTGATCATCATTTTTCACTTCGTATGAACATATTTTTTGTAGAAAATTATGCTCGTCTATAAATTATAACCAATAAAATCATTTAACGAAACAAGGACGTGAATATCAAATTATTTTTTCATCTCCTATTGTCTTATTCTCCACCCCTTACATTATTCGCTGAGTAATTTAGAGTAATCAATAAATTATGTTTATTATTACATTATTAAATTAAAACCTTTTACTCTCGTTCGGGTCAAATTTATTTGTTCTCGTTTAAAATTCATTACCCTGTAAAAAAAAACAAAAGGGAGGCGGATAGGGAAAATATTAAAGTTCCTTAACCATTTTATTTTCAATGAATTTGATATTTCCGATGCCTTTAATCGAAAAGGTCGAGTAGGTGCCTATTCTCTTTAATTTTTACAACTTTGAATTGAATTTATCCTCATTACAAAATTAATTAATGTAATACAAAGTGGCTTGTAAAATCATATTCATCATTAAGTCACGTATCGTACATGAACATTCAAGCTTTCCTGTCCGACCAATTTCATCCGTCATACGTATAGTATTGACGTAAAACCATGCATAAGCCCATTAGCATGCGCACATATTTACGAATAATCCATAAATGTCATTTTCAAATGTATATGTAAGTATTATTTAGTTAAACGGTTATCCCAAAATCTTAATTAATCCCTAAATAAGTTTATGATCTAAATTTCTAATTTACACTGATGAAAACGACCAAAATGTGTTCAATAGTTACCAAAATTAGTCCGAAAATTTGTTGGATAAAATAAGGCAAATATCATGATACAAAAAGAGCCTTCAATTAAAATGCGCAATACTGCTTATATTTTGATATGAAACAATAATGTTTGTATAATTAATAAAGGATACTCTTTATATAACATTTCCCTTCGAGTTCCTAACAATTTGTATAAACTTTCAGGTATTTGAAGATTTTATCAGACTAGAATTAGAAAAACAGTCTGTTTTATTTACAGATATACGACAATTTGAAGATGTTAGAGCGTATTCCGAGTTTTATTGCAGACAACAAAGATAAACAAGGAACAGACATGCAATAAAATCCGGTTGAACGCTCATCAGGAAAAGTTCGAAAGACAAATGTAGATAAATGCGAGAAACAACAATCCACCTACCTCCATAACGTCCTTCGACAGTCGTAAACTTCTGGCGGTATCACCGGGGGACGGAGCTGATCCATCAGGCCCCAATTCAACCAGCAACGGGGCAGCTTCCAATCTCGGTTCCCGTCCACTTCCTGTAGCAGTAGCTCCCAAGGCACCCGGCTTTTTCTTTCTTTTTCTGGGAGCACAATCTGCTGGTCTTCGTCTAACGTGGAACATGATGGAGCCTGAAACAAAAGAGAAAGTTCTATTTTAAACAATTCACACTAAAAAAAAAATTAATGAGTTCGAAGTTGGTATTGAGGTAACTAACTAAATTGTTCATCAGTAAATAAAACATAAAATGAATTAATTTGAAATGTATTTTATTTAAAAATATAATAATGTAGCGAGCACGAGTGTGTTCGTGTGCGATAGGGCACACGTGTGCGTGAACGGCTTATCGATTCGGCGACTAGCCGCGGGCGCCTTTCTTCATGTACGCCGTATTTGTAAATGTGTGTGTCGTACCTGCGTTCTGGGAAAGCAGTTAAACAGTTCAAAGAAAAAATAAACTATCCGGATGTCTCCAGAAGGTTCCAGAAAGTAAGCAAAAGAGCATTTAAAGGAAGAGACGATCGCCGAGAAAGGGAAGCAATAAATTGACCGTTGCAGAAGTGAATCGGAAAATAAATTGACAGTGACAGCAGTGATATAAATAGTCCAGTGAATAGTGATATATCAACAGTAGTGTAACTAAAAAGAATACTTCATAACCTAAGTTTAGTAATAATTTAATAGTGTTTTTAAGTTCTTCAATAATTAGTGTAAATAAATAGTTTTTTGTCGTTATCAGTATTAGAAGTTAATTTTGTTAAATACGGTTTATCGAATACCCTCCCCCCCTCTTCAGGCACTTGAGCTTTCGTTTAATCGGATTAGTTGTGTGACAAGGGACGTCTATTCATTTGAAACAGCAAACGATAATTTCAACTAATTACCTGAGTGTTACGATCTTAACGGATAAAGAGGGCAATTATTTTCTAACGCGGTGACAAAGCGCACTTGGAAAGGAAACTGCTGAACCAAGCACTTAGGGGCGCAAGTCTAAAGTGGTCGTACAGTGAATGAGGCGCTACTTTTGACGTAAACACCATTACAGAAACAATGGAACAACTTCACCAGAAGCAAGCTGTCATTGTTTTTATTACTACGTTTTTTATTTAGAGCTTTCTAAATTACACCAGTAATAACAGCTTTATACATATTTAATTTCCCAGAATTATATTAACATCATCTATACTGGCTGAGTCTTCGCTGTAGAAGTTTTTTCCAAGCCGGTGAGTTGGTATCACCGAAATATATAGGGTGTAATAGAAATGCACCCTGTATATGTACCTAAAATTTATCCGACAAAGTTCGTTGTGTATGGAGATAACTTTTAAGTTTTTTTTACGAAAACCGCGCATTATCGGACTCTTTTAGACAACATCCGAAATTATGCAAAGTTACGGATTTTGTCAGGTACGGTACCCGGTAGTCTTTTAATTAATTATACACAAATGGGCCTCCCGATAAAAATAGGTTCGCCCAAAATCTTTTTTACCTACTGAAGACCATTGCTTATTATGCGCTTAGGGTATCTTTCTTATGTGCAGTTTTGTTTGTCTCTAGGGCAGGTTCATCTATGAGATGAGACAGGAAAAGCCCTTAGGGGGCGAGGACTTTTACCTAACATAACCTAACCTAACCCATTTAATCTAACAACACAAACTAGTAAAATCTAGATTAGACAGGGTAGAACAGGCTGTCGGGTTTGTATTGCAACATTGAAAGGTCCGACAATACAGAAAACTTACATATATATATATATATAACAGGATATAAAACGTTAGTTTTTAGTATCTACCAATATGCCCTTTCGATGATGTTTCTTTTAAAGGTTTTATATAAATGCAAAAATGCAATGAGCTTGAAATGTTTTTATTAGGTAAAAAAATTTCACTACCCCCTAAAACATGTTGTCGTAATCAAGCAAGATAGTATTACAATCGTAATAGCAGCGAAAGAAAAGTTCATTATCAAAATAGTATGCGTATTTCCTCTAATATATATGGAAAGCCCTACATTTGTAAAATATAGGTCGACTTAAAAAGGTCATTCTAAAAATAACTCACTTACGCACACAAATATGAAAGTAATGATTTCTTTCAAGTGGAAATTACAAATTCAAATACGAATTTATAAATGTTAAAGAATGAAAACTTAAGTTCAATCAATGCTGACCCAGAAGCTTGTCATTCAATATATAGAATTATTCTTGAAAATATTTTGAAAATAATCCTATTCCAATGATCCGAATTTTCAAAACAAGAATTATTTATCTTTATTTGTAATTGAATATTCAAATTTCTTCGAAGTATAGAACAAAGCAAGCAAAGGAGATAGGACGATCAAACTCCATCAATTTTCAAAAATTAGTTTCATGTAGACACCTACGGATGACTTTACTTTTCTATAAAGTTTTTAGAACTGCAAGTACATAGCTTGAATAATTAGAACTGCAGATTGAAGTATTTATAGAATAATTTTAATAAAAAAACTAAAAACAAGAAAACAACATTAAATCCTTGAAATTATAACAAAATATTTTATTATTTTCCAGATCTTGCATTGAAAAATTACAAACAAATTATTGCACAGAACATCAACAATAACGTCGTATATAGTCTTGCTCTTTTTAGTGAAAATATAACGGAAGCAGTCGTTTGTTTCTGTAACCGGTGGAAGACATATACTTTGTACTTTTTATTGTTCTTCTGGATGTTTACAGAGATATTATCCGCTCGCAGAGTTACCCAGATAAATTGCCAGGACAACCGTGAAATGGTTAGATACAAAGTAATGCTCTCGTCTTCTTTTTGTAAAATAAGGGAAATGCAAGAACGAACGATTAAATCTTGTAACTTGTAATAAAACGCTTAATTCTCATAATAAAACTATCGGGTTGTTCGGAAAGTCATTTCGTTTTTTCCCGACAGAGGATTGAATTGTATACTTTTGCACCCAACTTCACATTTAAGCAGTATAATTTTTATATGCTTTGAGAGCTCATANTAACCTTTTGCTTGACCGAAGAAAAAATTTTTAATTAATACTTCTTGATCAGCTACTAATTTCATTAAGTAACCAAATTATTGTTACATTAATTTTTTCAATATATATTACTACAAACCGGCATTTAACGAAGACATCAATAAAACAATTCTAGAATTATATGACAATCACTTACCTCTGTTGGGTGTTGGACTGGGCTGTTGCAAAAGGGTAGCCAGTCCGTGATAAACAGCACCTCCCTTTGCTACTTCCAATGTTACCACACTTCCTGTTCTTACAAGGAATTCTGCTGCCTTTTCTTGCGTTATTCCTAAAAGTGACTGTCCATCTACAGATAACAGTTGATCTCCAGCGGCTAATCTTCCATCACGATCGGCAGCTCCCCCTGGGACAACTGACTTTATGTAAATTCCCAGTCGCTCCTGTCCCGCCCCTTTTGCAGCTACAATCGATAGTCCCATTCCGCCTCCTGCTTTGTGGAGCCTTATCACCTGTATCTAATAAAAGAAACAATTTCTTAAGCATTATTCAACTTAAATTTTCTAACGATAACATCTCTGGCTATAAGAAAAGTTAAAAAAAAAAAACCGAAGACGTATTAACCTCTGGTTGTGTAGTGCTAAGAGCTGAAGGCGGCCTGGGAGCATTCATATAGACTGTCCAATGTCCGGAACTTGTTGGTTGGGTAGCTAGACGGCACAGTCCAGAAACTTGGAGAGGTTGTAGGAAGTCAGCGAGTCCAGGAGGGACACCTTGAACAACATCACAACTAAAACCGTCATCTGGAAGAAGTAATTGCAACGGTGGAGCGGGATCTTCATGTAATCGCACTTCACGACCTTCAGCTCTCGCTAGTTCATCAGCAACGCCCTCTGCCGCACGAGCTGCTTGTTCTAACATTGCTGGCGGTGCCACTTGTTCACCTGGTTCAGCTATACAATAAAATAATTTAAGTTATATGCTTTGATAACCGCCTATTTTAGCTAACTTCCCACCTTTATACTGTGTAAGCAAAGCCCTAAGTTGTAATGAATTCAGCTTAAAACAAGCCGCTGATAAATTGGCCAGTTCTTCAGCTGTACTCTTCGGGGCTTGTAGTAAATGGGCACATTGGACAATTTTGGCAAGATGACATTCGGCGGCCAATTCTAATCCTTGAGACTCAGCCCAAGCCTTCAAATAAGAATAAACACACTTTAGTAATCCACTTATAATACGAACTAAAAAAAAAAAAAGAGATTGTACCTGTAAGTTTCTCAACTTGTTAAAAAGTTTCACGCCAAAGCTGCGATTGCACAGGGCCGGATTGTTAATAATAGCGGAAAGGGCTCTCGCCGAGATCCAGTGAAAAAGTTGCGAAAACAGTTGAATGGTAAGGGCGGCGTTTACGCGACACTTGCGCAATAGGTTCATTGCGACACCAAGTACGTTGACGACATCTCGAGGATGGTCGTCACCCGTACCACTACCATCTGACACCAGATTGCCCATAACCGCGTTCAGTTCGCCTGTAAGACACGCCACCAGATTTCGGAATGCCAATTGAACGGCGTCGGCAAGAGTGTCTTGGGCCTGGATTGAAAACGCACTTACGTGTCTATCAGACTTGAGAAAATGAAGAAGTTCGCTGGCGTTCGCAAGCCAAAATGCCTGGGATGTACTTTCGGTGCTTCTGAAAAGAAAACCAAAAATAAAAGAAAAAAGAAAATATTAAGAGACTTGCAGTCATTCAATCACTTCAGTATAGTTACTAAAGTTAATATTTTGTTTGATATTTTTATTCGGCTATTATTTTAAATTAGTAGCATTTTGTCAAAGTTCGTATAGTTTTGTCTTCATGTTAGGAGGTATAAAAAAAACTTTCAATAAATTGCAAGTGGTAAGTGGTTTTGGAATGCTTACCTATCTTGGACGGTGTGCCTGATAAGCATTGCCGCGTGCTGAAGTAGGAGGGTGAGCTTGTGCGCTCTTTCGGTTGGGGTGAGTTCGGGCCGATAGTGGGTGGAGGCGCGGTATCGAGCGCACAGGTAAAGAGTGTAGGCGGGTGCTAGACGAAACGTCGGCGTCGTCACATCAAGGTGAGTGATTACACGCGCCAAAAATTGTTCTTGAGGCTCCTCCGGGAACTCCA